ATTTTGAAATGCAGTATGTAGGGACATAGGGGCTTGGAAGACAGATCTTCCCCTAGTTTTTCATGCTGTTGTAAACATCTTGTGCTCTGATTTCCTCAAATCTCCTCCTCCATTCCCCAGCAAAAACTATGGAGGAATTTCTATGGTGGCTACATGTCAGGAAATTAGGAAAACACATGGAAGGGTCAGACAGCTTGAATAGTTCCTCTGCTGACAGGGTGGCTTCTAGCTGAGCTCAGGAATCATCATAACTTCAAAGCCTCTTTTCAGTCTGCTGTGGAAAGGTTCATGGGATGGGTGTGGATTGAGAGATTCATTCAAATAAGCAATCCAGGCCAGGCTGGATTCTGTATAGGTCTTGGGGGAGGGAAGGGGGTGGTACCTTTGTCCAGAGCAGGTTTCTACAGTCAGGAGAAAAAAATCCAGTCTCTTGTAATCCAAACTGCTGCAGAAAGAAATAATTTCTGGTTTCTTAACTGTGTGTTGAAATGAGTGTTTTCTTAGGAATACTTCCGGAGAGCAGAGAACAGTTACCTCAGCTGTTTACTAGAGGGCAGGAGTTGCCTTAACTAAATAGCGAGGGGGAACCTGGGCAGCATTTGTAGCACCCACATGGAATGTGACATGCTTTCCCAGAGGTTTATGATTTGTGTTTCACAGAGTGCTTTTCAAGCTGGCACAACACGGAGGAGCCACCATTCTTTGCTTCTGGCAAATTGTGTCTTGCTTTCAGTACCTTGAGTCTTTCAGAACAGACTCCATGAAACACTTAAGAGTTGTGCAGCTGAGTGAAAAAAGACTCTTCAGGATTCTCAGGTGTTTAACAGAAAGTTAACCTTGGCCCCTTTTTTTGAGCAGTCTTTAACACTGCAGAACCAGTCACAGTTCTGTGCTGCATGAAATCTCGCTGGCTTTATACAGTTTCTCCATTCATAAGCACTAATCAGGAGATGGTTGCATTCCCATTGGTGGTAAGTCAGTGCAAATAAATGCAGGATAGGATTCCAGGTGCTTGTCTGCCCCAGCTATTGACAGAAACCCAGAGCACTGAAGCTGTGTGTGTGTCTGATGCCTGATGTTTTCTTCTAGGTTGCTCAGATCGTGAAACACGAGATGGAAAACGCCATCAAACTCTCAGTGAAACTGAATGTTAAAGTAAAAATTGGCCCCAGCTGGGGAGACCTGCAGGACGTGGAGCTGTGACACTGCTGTGTGACTTTCCCATGCAGCAGGCACCATGGACTGCAGGGTGGAGGCCTGGGATCACCTGCGGGCGGTGTGATCCTCCTGGGCTGTTTCTGCTGGCAGGGTACCCAGCTGCCTTCTGAAACGCGTGCTGGAAGCTGGTGTGAGATCAGCGAGCCAAAGCAGCCAGAGCTCAGCCAGAGCACGTGTTTCAACTGTGAAATTATTAATTGTTAAAAGAAGGATATTTAAATGAATTCTACCAAGGGTTCTTGATCTTGTATAAACCCCCAAAGTCTAATGAATTTATTACATATGAAATGAGCTGGATTAGGTTATTAAAACAAGGTGCAAACATAATTTGGCAGTGCCTGTGTATAATTGTCTAGGGCAAAGAGAGTCATTGTGATTGCACTTGATGCAGAATTTTGAAGGCCTTTGCCAGGATTATCTTGTACTGGATTCTGCTGATGACACTCAGGTGCTGAAGTGGCTTTACAGTTGGCTGGATTTCTGACTGTGCAGCTGTGCAGCATTCACAGTGAGTGGAACCTGTGCTTGGTTGGCCTCTGACTTTTAAGAAAGCATTTTTGTGACTGTTGTAATTCATCCTACTGCTACCTTGCAAACTGGCCTCAAATGGAATATTGTTTGGGATCTCTTAGAGTTAATACAAAATCACCAGCAGAAACCTTTTAAAGAATGAAGCTCAATGAACTTGTTAAAAACTTCATGGCAATGCATATCTTTGTCAAGAAGAAAACTATCTCAGTCTGGCCAGCTGACATGGCAGCCTTGCTGGTGTTTGAGGTCTGGTGTGTTTGAGAGGAATTGTTACACTGTGATAAGTGACCTGTGGCTCTTCCTTCAGAGACTCTTTTCCTAAGGAAGCCTCACACCTGCCTGTTGGCAGTCCCACTAAAACCTGCTCAGATTTCCCCCACTCTTTTGCCTCAATGTCTTTGGCTCTGACCCCATGATGAGGCAGAAAGTTTTCCTGGGAGTTTGGGCTTGTCAAGCTAAGGTGGGATCAGATCCTTCAAAAGAAGGGGCAAGGATGGAGCTTGCAGGGAATTAATCTGCCACTATTTGGCACCACTATCCCCACTAATACCTTCTGGTCTGGCTAAATCTCACATCACAAGTTTTCATTTCCCATTCCAGACAGCTGTGATGGTTACACAAGTTCAGCTGCTTTTGTTAACTTCACACAATGCCTGACCTTGAATTCTGTAATTTTCGTCGTCTAGCCCTTGTATCTCACAAGAAAGGGAGGACAAGTCCCTCCTTCTGTCTCTAATGATTGTATCCTGTCCTTTTCTGCAGTTCCTCCCTAATGTAATCAATCTCCATCTTTCCATTCTTGCCTCCTGTGAGAAGTTTTCAAGCTCCTAATTATCCTTTCATTTCTGAACTTCTGCTGGCTCCTTTTTAAGCAGTGCACTTTTGAAGTTGCTTTTTCAGCCTGATCTGAGAGGATGCACACTTGGCTTTCAGCAGCCTGGGAGGGGGCTCGGGATCGTTAACTTCAAATGCGGCGCTTTCGGCAGGGCCCTTGTCCTGACATCAGAAGTAGCCACACCGAGGGCTGGGGAACACAGGGAGCATTCAAAGATGTTAATGGGGCCCCTCACAAAAAGCTGCATCCCAGACTCTGGTCCGCCTCCTGCCTCTTGTGCAGCAAAACAGACACGTGGCACTGAGCCAGAGCCCCAGATGAGGCTGCCTTGGCTGCCCTGCTCAGCACCGTCTTAGCCTTCTTTCCTGTTTTGTATTCCACCTTACACTGAGGATTTTTTGTTTTCTTCCTGCCTGCTCTATGCCATGGCTTTCTACGACACCTGTCACCTGATGGCTGAGCTCTTTATCCACAGCAATGTCTTTTTTCTGACTTTATTAAAGCTTTTGTTATTACCAGATCCGAGCCTCGGCACCCTGGTGCCTGACCATTTGTGTGAAGATGCTGGCTTGGCCTCATTATCAATTCACATGGCCTAATGATTTCCTGTCCTGGGTGTCCTGCAGTGACACACCTGTGCCGTATTCCAGGCCTCACTGGGGCTGCTGTCATTTGGGCTGCTTTTTCCTTGGCACATTACAACATTTCCCTCCCACACGCTGCCTTCAGAGTTTCCCAAGGATGGATCTCACACGTATTTCTCAGCAAGCTCTCTAGAAGGGGGTGATGCTAATCAGTAAGGGGATTAACATGTAGCAAAACTTATTTTGACTAACAAACTCAATGGGCTCGTTTTAGTTAAGCAGTAATTTGGAGCAAATGGGAAGACAAGAGGTAGCCACTGTGGCATTTGAGTTGTGTTACAGGGACTGGCTCTGGGCTGGTTTCTGATTGCTGCTATTTACGTTCCTCAGTTCTGATTAGACTTTAACTCTTAGCGAGACTGAGCAGAGGAAGCAGAAGAGGGCTAAGTCAGGTAAGCAGAGGCACTGTCCAGAACTGCAGAAAAGGGTTTATGTTGTTTTCTGAAGGTGGTAAGAAGGAGCTTGGCTGCTCACATTACTTACCTGGTTTTGCCTGTGAGCTCCTTTCGCCCCACCTCTGATTGCCTGAGGGCATTTTTAAAATTCAGGACCTGATAACCAGAATGCAGATTAGTCTCAGTCTGTGTAGTCAGGATGGGATGCATCTGGTAGTGTTTGTTCCTCAGCTTGTTTGTGTGTTTCTCCCTTCACAGCCAATGCCAGCCTCTGTCAGCTGGCACAGCCCGGCACAAGGACAGATGAATGCTGCAGCAGGGGTAAGAGTTCTGTTTGTTACAACTGTTGACAGCCTTGTCCCTCGGTGCACGCAGAATTCCTACTGCAGCTCAGCCCTGCACTGCCCTTGCCTGCCTGCTGCACCAGCAGGGATGTGCCTGCCTGCCAAAAGAAACCCAGTTGGGATGCAGTCCTGGCAAACAGCTGTGGTCACTGGGAGTGCCTTGTGTTCATGATGGGAACCTGCAGGACCCAGCTCCTCACAGGGAGAGTCTGTCCTGTCCCTTGGAGCTGCTGAGCAGCCTGGTCTGGTTGGTTCCCATCTGTTTCTGCTCAAAAAGACTCAAATGTGTGTTCAGCTGGCTACTGATACGGGGCAGGACTTGCCCAGCCTTGCTAGCAGGAACTCACACCTTTGATGTTTGCTGCAGTCCCTTGGTCCTTTTCGTCACATGCAGACCACAAACTTGTACTGCTGCAGCTTTCCTTTTCTCCCTGGCTACTGGAAGCATTGACAGGCAGGTGACAAATAATGACCCTGGTAGTCTGATCTACTTTGGTCCTTTTGCCTTTCTCCCGTGCTGCTTGCATTTCATGGAGAGAGTTGTACAGAGCTGACAAGAGGGAGAGGGGAGCTCAGCACCTTTGGCCGGCATTTGGAGCTTCTCCTGGCACAGCAGTTCAGAGGTGCTGCTGGGAAGAGCCCTTACACTGAGCTCACTCCTGCCCTTTCCGAGCTCACGCTGAAGTGGGAGGGGCAGGAAGGGCTCTTGGCTGGCTGGTAGCCCTGGTCCAAGGCTGGGAACATTCCAGCTGGTGTGGCAGTCCGGAGCCCCGTGTGAGCTCCCTGCCATGGAGCATGGGAACATCAGCTGGCATGGGTTCTGTCCTGGCAGGAGCTGCTGGAGGAAGGGAGGTGACCATCCCCACCCCAGCAACAACCACGACTGCAATTTTTGTATTCCTGAATGAGAAGTGAAAACTCCAACCAAAGGCTTGAGACAAGCCATGCACCTCTGAAATACTATAAAGAATGTAGAAGTTGGGAAAAAAAGAGATTACACCAACTAGTATCAATTCTTTCCTTTATTTTCTTCCCCTCTGTTTTTTTATTTTTTACTTTTTGGTTGTTAATGGGGGCTTGAGACAGTCTCACTTTAAGATGCCTTAGCTTTGTGATACTGATTTAGGATACCTGTGGAAACAGGACATGGTTAGCACAGGAGTGTGTGGTTCACCCCAGATCAGCCTTCGTTCTGAGAGACAGGTAATGACTCGTTAACAAACCACACACATACTCAGCCCACATTTCCTTGACACTGAATCTGAATATTTGCTGCTATTTAAAAAAGTACAACGCTTGATTTGTTGATTTAATCACAAAACAAAACACATGAATGGAAACACTCATTTACGTGACTATTGCTTATACACCTAAGAGGAGGAGTTGGCTGCCAATGTCCACACGCACTTCCTTCATGAGAGAGAGTGTGCTCCTACCAGAGCCTGCCAAGGCAAAGAAACATTCCAGACTGAAATATGCTGTGCTTGAGTTCACCTTTGGGCTATGGGAAAGGATGGGTGGGGCAGGGCCTGGGCTATTTGAGGGGCATAATTGATCAAAAACTGTGGCTTTGCCTGTGCTGCCACACACAGAGTTTGTATATGAAGGAGGGCTGAGGCTGGATGCAGCTCTGGAGTGGTTTCTATTTAAAAAAAAAAAAAAAATCTTTCTATGCCCACCTGCACTATGCACGCACTGTGGTGTAAAGGGATTCTGGAAAAGGAGTATAAACTGTTTTAGAGGAGGTTTATGTGATAATTTTATACAATACATGTAGTAAATAGAATGCTTTTGTTACACATTTTTGTAACAATCCTGGTGTTGTGGGGCATGACTAATTGATGTAGATAGTTGAACTGTAGAACTGTGAAAAAACTTAAACCCCCTCCCCCCAGGTAATTACAGAAAACAAAACCTGATTCTCAAAATTTCAATTGTCATGTCTTTTAATTCAAGGCTTGCAACTGAAGTTAAAGCTCTAGGAATAGATTTAATTTTTTTTATTAATAAATAAAGTAGCTTGTACTTCATTGAAGACTTGCCAACTCTGCAGACTTATAAATAATCTAATTTAATGCATTTTTTTCTGTCTATCTACAGCACTAGACATAAGATTACAAACATCTGGTCAAACCCAAAGGTGTGTGTGCTGTTGGAAGTTCTGTGTAACTGGTTTTGGATCTGATTGTGACAGAGATCCTGGAGAGAAGAGCATGAGAGAACAAAGTATCTAAATGAACAAACAGCATTTTAAACTGAACTAATATTTCCAGCCCATCTGGCCTGGTGTAGCTGAGGATTGCGAGGCTGAAGAGACATCTAAGCTTGGGATTTTGCTTGAGGTGGTGCTGTCTGAGTGGGAAAGGTGAAAGCACAGAAAGATTTCAACATCCAGTGACAGCCAATGTCCTTGATTTTCCTCCAGCCAGTCACAGTCCTACAGTCTTTCTCAGAGTCAGATGCTGTGCTCCTCGCTGGGAATGCTGCAGCTCCATGCCTGTCACTGACAGCCTGGAGCAGTGTGCAGGGCAAGCCTTGCAAAAATCCCACACTCCCCCTCATTTCACAATAAATCACCCAGGCAAGAGTTTTTCCTCCCTCATTGAACTTTTTAAGTGATGGGTTTTTTCCACATACATGGTAACTCTCGATAGAAAGCATTTAACAGTGTGCACTAACAAACTTATACAACATATACATTACATATATATATTATATATATAGAATGTTCTATATACAAACATATACATCTTTTTAGATCTCTACAGACTACAAGAAAATTGATAATTATAGTCACAAGTGGCGAACTTAACAGAAATGGTAATTGGTAACTGTCTGGAAATATGTAAAATATGTAAGAGTGGAAAGCTGTGACCTGATGGGGAGTACTAAAGAAAAGTTGCTTAGAAGTTTAGCATTAAAAATTGTAAGTTTGAGGGCTGCTAAATTCTCATTTCTCTGTTGCATAAAAATGCAAATGGAAATCTACTGGCAGGTTTTTTTTTTCCCCTGGTGTTAAAGTAGAGACTGTTTGTTGGCAGCCAGAGTCAGCTGGGCCCTGTGTAAAGACTTGTTGAGGACACTTTTCTCTCCGGGTGAGCTGCAGTGATCAGCAGTCAGAAGTTGCTCGTTAGTTTTCTTCAAAGATCCCATGATTCCAATCAGCCTCTGGGGCTGCTTCTGACTGCCACACACCAGGGCAGAATGGAAAATAAGCTGGCTGCTGGACATTTTGAATGCTGCCCCAAATGATGTTGTTGCTCAGAGACCAGTGGGTTTGGATTGTAGGCCAGAGCACAGGCCCAGTGATACAGGTTTGAACTGAAGATCAACTTGCCATAATGTTCTCCTTTATTCCTCATTCCTGATGCCTGCTTAGAGCAGTGCTTCCTCACAGGCACCAGTGGTTACTTCTGTGACCCAGCCCCTGGAAGGAATTCCCCAACCCAGTTCCTATTGGAATCAGATTGGCAAGTTTGGTTTATCCTTACACACAAACACACAGAGGAATCCTCTTGGGTCACGGACAACTCCAATTCCTTAGCTCTCAGCAGAAGCCCAGGAATTGCTCAGGCTTTGACCTTTTTCCCTGCAAGTTTCTACAGTTCTGACAACATAGAGCAGGTTTTCCTGTGCTAGAGAAACTTGTGGAGTCCCATTCCCAGTTGACTAGACCTGTCAGGGCCATCACTTTGATTTCGGCTACAGCAAAACGTAAAAATCCTGTAAATCATGAAATTCTGTTCTGCCACAATGGGAATTTAAAACTTAACACCTCAAATCTCTTCCAACCCTTTAACTTGAGCAGTGGGCCAATTGTGAGGCCAGACTTGTGGATGGTACAACTTCCTGGGCTGTATTTTATTGTAGGTAAAGGAAGAAGAAGGAAAAGGTGTTTTTGAGAGGGACCATATGAACACTGTGATGATACAAACACCAGTGAAATTAAGGTCTAGGTGGGAGTGGGATGGTGCCTGTCTCTCTCAGTGTCCATCAGGATTCCTTGAAGAGACAAATGTTACACTTCTTCAAAAGAAAAATTTTAAAGGCTATTTTTCCAACTTTTCCTCACTTCCTTTTTTCTAATTTAAAACTATGTCCAGACACATGAAAACAAGCCTTCAGTGCCTTGTTTTCAGCCCAATCTTGGAAAAATTTCCAACCTAAGAGCTGAGTTGTGTGGCAGTGAGTCTTGCAGGATAGGGTGGAGCACTCCAGCAGGATAGGCAATAAATCCAGCTCACTGTTCTCTTCTGTGGCTGCAGGTTGCAGAGTTTCCTGCAGCATTCACTGCAAAAGCCAAACAGGCCACTCTGAAGCAGAAGCAAATTACTTTTAGCAGTGTGAGCAGAGTATAAATTGCCACTCACCCATGGTGTCACTTCATTTCTGTGCTCCATACATATGTTGACAAGGGTTTTCCATGCTCCTCCCTGGCCCACTGTGTAGTGTTCCTGCTCTAATCTCCCTTTCTGTCACAGGTTTTGGGGGGGTTTCTGTGCAGGCCCCCCACTCATAATTTCAGCTGAGCACTTAAGCTGCTCTGCAAGCTGCTGAGCAGCCTCTGTGAGCAGTGTTTGATGGGACTGTGGTTTCCCATCTTCCCTCTCCTAACTTGAAGAAATGCTTTCCAAAGCTGATTTCCTATTCCTGCTACTGGGAAATAAGGCAACCAAGTGATACAGCCTCCACGGGGATGAAAAGTGCCACAGCCCCCCTTCAAGGACAACAGATGAATCTAGAGCACATTTTAAATGTATAGATTAGGATGATGTTTCATGTGCTCTGAATTGCAAATAAACCATCTATGACATGTCTTAATGATCTTGTTAGATAGTGCCTGTCCAGCTACCTGCAAAATCGTTACATTTTGGGGATAGGATTTTAAATTTATTTATTTTTCTGGTAGGAGTTAAAGAGCATTGCCTTGGGCAAGGCTTTTCAAGGGAAATAAACAGCTGATAAGAAAATGCAGCTCAACTCATTTTTATGTGGAGAACAGTAGCAAACATGCTTGAAATGTCCTGGCTTTTTATAATGTAACTTTTAAAAAATAAAGATTTTTGTCATTTAAGGTGTTTTTTCTTTTTTTTTTTTTTCTCAGAATAGAAATAAATCCCATTTTTCTTCGGTCACAACATGCTTCCTTTTTCTGTTTTTTTTTTTTTTTAAGATGTCAATTAGCCATGCAAAGTTTTATAAGTGCATTAACATTCGAGTTTGTACAGAATATTTTTAACCAGACGCACTCCCCACAGTTCATACCTACAGCTTTTGAAAAACTACATGCCACAGTGATGGTTGAGTTCCTTTTGGGAAAAAATTGGCCACCCCAAGAGTCAGCTGTTGGAAAGACCCTCATGATTCCAGCTTCCATCCCATGGTCTGTAAAATTTCTCCTTGACGTCCACTGTGATGAATCCAATAACAGTAACAGGAAAACATCTTCTAGGAGAAAAAACTGTCTCTGGCCAGTGACTGGTAGATCTGGGAATAAAGGCTGCTTCCCTGAACTGTGTTCTTAATAAAGCCACAAGCAGCTTCCTTGAAAGTCTAAAACTGGTACCACTTTTTGTCCTTGTATTTGAGCATCACCTACAGAGATGGAGAAAAAAACCAAACAAATGGCAATCAAACACCGCCCTGCACATGAGACCACACATGACCATTAACTGTCAAACTTCAGAATTAATGAATGCAGAACAATGCAATACTTCACTAACAATGTCAGCAGGTCTTGAGTCCACTGAGATCTCATATTTAATTCCATAGTTATTTCATTTAAAAAGCGTTACCTGCTATTGCTGGTTTTAGAAGATTTTCCCTGAGGAACTTTAACTACTTTTCTTCTTCAAAAATTAAAGGAATTTGCTTTCTATAGGAATAAAAAGACACTTCTCCATGGAGCATAGTAGATATGCCCTGACTATATCAACTTCTTGCAATTCAAGGCACATTTTTTCTGCCTCACACTAACAAAAGCCAATAAAAATCTAAAGGTCTTGTCCAGAGATGCGATGCACATTAAATGAAAAACCTGCATTTTGGGAAGTATGCTTTGATGTTGTTTTATCTTCAAGAAAAATCATTTTAGTTTTCCCAGCCTTAACAGCGTGGGATGGAAAAGCTTTCCATTTCCAGCTCCAAGCACAGAAGCTATTCCTATTCCTGGCAAGGCCTATTCTACATAACAGTACCACAGGGCTGTACTAGTAATGTTCTCCTCTTCCCAGTGAGGTCTGTAAAGGCCCCTCTACACTCATCCACCTACCTCTTTTCTGCCCTACTGCATGGATGTGCTGCATTAAGTGGCTTAAAAAAACAAACCACAATGAACTAGCGAGAAAGGCAAGATGAGAAGTGCCACGTTCTAAATTCAGAGGCTAACAATGGATGCTCATTTCTGGAAACGTGAAAGGAAGGGGTGTGTTTATTTTTGGCATTCTGATAGTTTGGGAGCAGGAACAATGCCGTGCCAGCTGACAAGAGCACGCCTCCAACACCAAGACTGGGTGAAGGGAGAGAAGGGCACTTGGCTTTCCCAAAGGGAAGCGCAGGCTGGGTGGCAGGGTTGGCAGTTCCCAGTTGCAGGGTGTGGGTGCCAGGGCTCCTACCTCGTGTGCATGTTTGGAGAACGCCTCTGCGCTGGCCATCATGCTGGCAGTCCTTTCATCCAGCTCGCCCAGCTTCTGTCCCCTCTCGTCCAGGGCAATGCGCGCGCGAGTCAGGTCCCCAATGACCCCGCCCGCCGCTCCTCTCACGCCTTCAATCCCGCCGGATCCAGGGATGTGCTGGGCGAGGCTGCGCGAGGCTTTTCCTGCCGTGGCCTCGCCAACTGCAAAGGAGAAACGGACAGACAGAGAGACAGGGATGAGCTCCTGGCCTGGCTCTGTCAGTGCTCCCAGTCCTGAGCTGCCTCCTGGCAGCAGTGACATATCCGAGGGGCAGGTGGCACATCTGGAAGGCTTTGCTCTGCCGCCACCACATCTGCAGCGCAGTCATGTGCCCCCCACTCAGCTGATCAAAAGCAGCTGCCAAGGTGAAGGAGTTAAGGAATGGCAGATAAGGACCCTCCCCTTTCTCCACTAGGTCAACTTTCTCTTCTCATCAATCACCTAAATCTTGTGTACTGCTCCATGCCTAGATGACGAGGGCAGGGGATCTCAAGAATTAATTTCTGCCCAAAAAACCCCCAGCAGTAAATTACTCACAAAGCTCCTCCCTGTCAAAAGCTTGTCCACTTCCTCCAAAAAGTCCTTTGAGGAAGCCTCTGTTTTGGGCTTCTGGTGTTTCCACGGGAGTAAACAAATCCCCAAGCATGTCCTAGTAAAGCCAGAAAAAAGTCCATGTGAAAGGTTAGTGAGATGAAAGTGGTTCTAGGTGTTTTCTTGATTTTCATTAACAAGACACATGCACTGGACCTAATCAACTAGTTTTAAAAGAGTCTGCTGTGAGAACAGTATGGTGCAGGCAATATTTGTGTATTCTGACAAATGCTTGGGCTAACTGGACTCACTCGTGCTTTCAAAGGGATTTGGTTTGTCACTGCTCAGTCCCATGTTTGTTACCAGAGGAAAACAAAACCTGCAGCTAATACAGAATGAAAATACCAGTGATAAGGTCACATTTTGCTTAGAAACACCAGAGGTGACACTCTAATTGAATAAACAATTTGCTGTGTATTATGTATTTTGCTGTAGTGATTGCCCAGTCAGGCTGGGCAGTCACTCTGCTTTCTTTTTATAGCACACCTGAGTTCAATGCTTGCCAGCAATTCAGAGTTTGGTGGTTTGTCTTTTAGTTGATTTTTTTCTTTTTAAACAAAATTCATTACCTTCCTACAACCTTCCCCCACCCCCTTCGTGCACCATCAGCACTGCTAAATAAGCACATCTGCTCAAGGCGCTGCTCTGGTGCCACATCTTGGAGCAGTCACTCCCAACAAATGTCAGGCTCAGATTTATTTGCAGAAGTGTTAGGAAAAGCAGGCTCTCTGGAAAAAAAAAACTGATGGGAAAAGTGTGCTGTCCCATTAGTGTTTGAAACCAGGGGGCTGTGTGTACTGAGAACAGTTTCTGCCCTGTTGCTCAGCTCTGTGTTTGCTCAGGCAAGCCTCAGCAGGCAGATCCAGCTGCTGTGCTGCACACAGCGCTCGCTCCTGGGGGCTGAGTGCGAGGACAGCGCTGTGACGCACAGCCACTGCTCCTCTGCACAGTCACCTGCTCTGGGGAGAAAAATTACTGCAGCCCTTGGAGCCTAAGTGGAGCTCTCATGCAGCCCAGCTTTGTTTTCCAGGTAGCAGGTGATACTGGGTCATCTGCTTTCTGTACACACAAAATGACCATGCAAACCTTTTTTTGCCTAAAAGCCAAGATAAAAGCAGCCATAGTCCAGCAGTACAGAGAAGCAAGGGCTGTGTTTCCCTTTGCTTGGTAGTTGCATAGTGCTGTTAAGGCTGGTAAAAAAAAATAAAGTAGCATGTAACAGCCTCTTGTTGTAGGTCCATAATCTAAGATGCATCAGTCAAACCTTTAGATTATTTTAAAATTGGCTCCTTGCAAAATAATCTTTCTGGTGCACAAAAGCTGGTGTGCAATGTTCACTCCTCAAAGTGCCTTTTCAGACTTGAGACAGACAGTGCTGTGATGTGAGTTGAGCAGCTCAGCACATGTTATTCCCTAGGGCATAATGAGTGCTGGCAGGACCATTTCTTTTATACTTCCATTCTGGTTCACTGCTAATTATATAACCCAGAACTTATTCCCCCTCTTTTTTTTTTTTCCTTTTATTAGTCATGTTTCTCCCTGTAACCTCTCCCAATTCCTTCTTTCAGTAAATGACATTTTTATTTGCATTTTCACTGTAAAATAACCAAACCACACCAGCCCATCTCTAACACTGTAAAGACTTTTTGCACAGGTGCAGGTGAGAGTGCATGAAAAAGCCCGAGGAACAACAGAGCTGCTGACCTCTCTGTTGCTTTGGCATCATTCAGCCAGGGCAAGTGGAGAGGAGCAGATCTGTCCTGCCCCTGCAGCACTGTCCTTATCAGGGCTGGTTTTGCCTGCTGAGCGAGGCCACGGTCCCTCCCACACACAGGCACCAGGGTGAGGTGTGAGCCCTACCTGCAGGTTGTCACACATCTCCTGGCTGTAGGTCAGGCGCTGGATCTCTGTGGGAGAGCTCAGGTACAAAGCCTGCCCTTCGTTAGTGAAACAAAAGGTCCGTGCTATCCTCATGTCTGTGACAGGCAAATAGTTGATGTCCAGCAGCGGGCGAAGGCTGGGCAAGCTGAGGAGAAGCAGATTCCCAGGTTAGTCACCAGCTGCCACACGTGGTACACCTGCTCTGTGCCTGCATGTTAAACCAGCACTTCACTTTATGCTCTTCATAACTGCAACAGTTAAAGTACAGCTCTAAGCTGAAAAATTCTGCCATAAAAACACTGCATTCCCATCGTATTTTGTTTGCTTGCATGGAGGAGTTTCAGCTGCCTTGCCTCCATGGCCCTAAGGCTTCTGCTTCTGTCTGGATGTGGGATGTGCATGTGGCACGGTATGGCTTGTGCCACATGGCTGGGTCGTTTGCAGGGCAAGGCCTGCAAGGACATCTGTAGGAAAGGGCCTGGCAGGGCCCTGCTTCCACCCTTGGACAAAGGCTCCAGAATCACCTTGGCTGTCCTCCAGCTCCCTGGGGTTTGCTGTTCTGGACAGCACTTTCCCAAATTTAAATGGCCTGGCCAGGGAAATAGGGAGCAGCAAAGTGAAGGTACAACTACAGGGTTACTGCACAGTCAGCTCCTGGAGGGAGGGGACAAGGAAGGGAAACCAAGTGCTCTGAAGAGAAAAGCTTCAGAAGTGCCAAGAGTGGACTTGGGACTTCACAAAGGATACACAGAACCCTTTATATGGCTGAGTTTTATACTTCTCTATACCTGACCCACCATAACTGAGCAAAATTATCAGGGCTTTCTTTTATCATAGTTAAAAATCACCAGCCATCCACTGTCACAGGTACGGGATTACTAGAAAACACCAGGAGCTTGCTTTACTGTGCACCTGCCTGCCTTAACTCCCCACATGGGATCAGGTATGGCTGCATCAAGGCAGAGAATTCAACACACCCACCAGGGAGTTAATGCAGAGCATCAGGTACTCTGGAGCAAACACAAGTGGAATATGACAGCACTGCGCCACCTCTTTGCTTAGATTTGCCACAAAATTAGTTAGATAAGTACCTCAGTGTCATGATGTGCCCATTGGCACAAAAGCACGCCAGACAGACGCTGTTACAGAGGGTGACCACATCTGCTCGCAATAAAAAGGACGTTTCGGTGATGTTGTGGACATAAAGACATGTTTGGGAAGGCAATGAGAAGACTTTGGCTTGTTTTTCTGAACAAATGACTGCAAATTGATGATCACCCATATCCTGGGAGGAGGAAGGGGAATGCATGACAAGTTTCCTTTTCCTTGTTTTGTCACCGTCATCAGCACTGTGCGGATCCCTCCAGACTTCATAGGGCTGGTGTGTCAATGTCCCCATGCAGTCCAAGCACGCGAAGGTCAGCACGGCTCCCTTCAGTGTCAGGACGGTGCCTGCAGAACAGAATTCCCTCTCACTGCCACTGGCACCACAAGCAGACTGCTTGTCAGCACGGCACAGCTGACACCCAGCTTTTGTAAACACAGCACGCACATTAATCCAGCCAAGGTGACAAGGCGTGCTTGCTCAGTTCTTTCTGACCACACGAGAAGGAGAACAAACAGCCTGCCAGCACTGGAAAGGTCTCAGGCAGCTGATATCTATAATGATGGATGTAATACATGCTGTTAAAGATGGCCTCTTGTTTATCTCTACACTATACTAGTAGAATATTTATTCCCCAGCAGTGAAATTGCTCCAAGTCTGGTGACCTTCCAGCATTGTTTTTCTAAACAAACTGGGGTGGGAAACCTCTGCTTCTGTGCATTCTCCATTTTGTGTCCGTTTTTAAAGCACAGGCTGCCTCTCCTCAGACCTGACCTCTCAGCCCTCTGTTCTCTCTGCTACACCATCTGTCACTCACTCAGCCAAGGATCTCTCCTGGTACAGCAACCTGCCAACATTTTTGTTTCCTTTCCTGAACTCCCTTCTGCTTCTCTGCAGCTTTCTGATACTGAGACAGCCAGACTGCTTGCAGAATCCCAGACAGAACTGTAAACAGGACTGTAATTTTACAATATGAAGGAGCTCTGGTAATTTCCTGGTCGCCACAAGAAATATGTAACTTTGCCTGTTACACAAGCCAATCTTTGGAACTAACACAACCTAAGCATCTCAGTCCGTGAAGCTGTTGATCCCTCATGAGCATCTTTACCTGTGTGTCTTCCACTCAGTGAGTGACCACTGCTTGATTTTTTTGAGACACTTCTGCCCAAAAGGCCATACAAAATCATGCAGTTATTGCCCCATTGTACCAAGACAGATAAAAAGCAGGAAAGGAGCTACACTCACCACTTGGTGACACCGTGACTGGCTCTGACTGCCGTGAGTCGTCACTAGCAGGCAGATTAAGGGACAGGATTATGACCATCCCGAGGCCCGTTCCGACCCAGAGGCAGGAGGAAACAGCAGAGTCGTTCTTTCGGGCAAAGGACTCCATGAAGTACAGAGCTGTGATTGCCTCCTTTGAGTCCCTGTCGATACTGGACACGCTGGAGCTTCGGGAACGGCTGAAGGAGTTTTCCCTGTTTTCTGCACAAATAGATACAAGCAAACAGACATAAATTAGTGCTCAAGGAGCAGGCACAAGCCTGCAGCAAATACAAACTCCCTGCAGAGTACAGAAAGTAAAGTTTTCTTAACCTGAGCAAACATTCTGACCCTAGCATGATACCAGCTTGCTGCCAGTGTACAAATAAGTGTGGAAAATGCTGTCAGACATCATCAGTTAGATCTGCATTAGAAATAGCTGCCTATTATGGAGATTAGCATGGACTAATTAGAATTTACAACAGCCTTAGCTCTAAGGACTTGTTCTAAATAGCACAAAATAATTTCATACCCATATGTTACCAATGCATTTAGAATTAATCCATGTGTCTCATTGCTGCAGGACATGAAGGGAGATGCCATTACCAGTGTAATGTGTCCCCTGCTCTGCTCTTGTTGTCATCACTAGGACATTCCAGCACTGCGGTCACAGCCATCATTTATTGTGAAGGTATTAATAACTCCTCCCTGGGGAAAAGACATCCATTGCTGAACTGAACCCAGTCTCCAAAACGTCTCAGGGTACGCATCCACTCTGGCTTCCCAGGGAGTGAAGTGAGAAACCTGCTCTGTGCCCTTGGCAACAACTGCAGAGTGAGCTGGCACTGCCTGAGCTTTAGCAAGCAGCATCAAGAGCTAGCTGGAGACAGAGCTGTGCTCTCCCCACTGCAAGTGCCCAGGTACAGAGACTCTTTCTGAGCTTTCCAGAGAGAGGTAACGATGAAAAGGCTGAGGAGCTCTGCTTTGCTTTGTCTAGTGCCAGGCAGGAAGCACAAAGCTGTGTGAGGGAGCTCCTGGCATTAGCAGGAACATCAGAGGCTATAAAGCACAGAGGGCTAAAAAGTTCCTGAAGAGTCAAGGAGCCAGAGGAAGATGGGAGTAGGGCTGGCTGCTGCACAGTCCTTGCAAAACAACTTATGCCAGTGCTGCTGTTTACCAACCTGTAGTTAAACATGGGATCAGATCACTGGAAGCCCCACAAGCTCTTTTGCAACAATAAGAACTGGAGGTGAAGAAATAGGTGAAGGTACTGGATCTGAGATAAAGGTCTTGCTCCTGAACCTGTCATTATGAAGCAGATTTGTATCTGGTACAAAACTGTCCTTTTTATAGCTCAGAAAAGTCACCTCTTCAGAGCCAACAGAAGTGTCTAAAAAGAAGAATAGTTTCTGCCATGGTTCAAGAATAAAATTAGAAAATTACTTTCTCACGTACTCCAGCTTAAAACTGAGCTAATCCCCACACTGTACACATGGTTCCTGTGCCCCACCAGAGCAGCAGCTTTGCCAGTGAATCTCCTCCTCAGACAACAAACTGCAGCATTGTGTTCCCCTGCCCAGATGCCTCAGTGTAAAGTTATCCCTACACTGCAGCTCCCTGGGGAAGACTGGAGAGAACAGAGCGAAGCACTGCTGGAAACACGCCAAGTGTTTCTGCGTGTTCTTCTGCCTCAAGTGCTGGCACACAGGTTTGGGGCAGATTCTCCTGCTACTCTTTTCACACTTGGGCCACCTTCTGTCCTTTGAGGCCATTTGTAGCATGTCAAAGAGGAGTTTTACAGGACAGCTGTTCCTGGCACTTCACTTCCACTCTCATGGAAGAGAAGCTTATGTCTACTTGAACTTCCAAGCACTGCCCTCACCCCATTTCCACGTTCATGTAGGCACTGTTGTAGCTCTCTAGTTGTGTCTCAGCACTGCTCCATGTAGCTGCATAAACTGGGATTGTTGGCTCATCTACAGACACAGCTGCTAATACCTTGAGAACCAGTGTCTCCCATAACCCCAAGAACTTTGTACTCCTACTCCTCGTGCAGGGAACGAGTTGGCCCAGCTCCTTCCTGAGCACTGACAGCTGCCAGGTAAAGAAAGGAAGACAGTAATTTCAAGGCAGAAATCATCATGGCTATATATATATATATATATATATATATATATGTTTTTTCCCAAAGGGTATCTAATCTTTAATAAAAATGCTATTATGTAATTAATCTTCTCTTTAACAGGTGTATTAATATCACAGTCACATAAAATTCAAAAACGGTGGTGCTCAAGCTAAGAAAGATGTTGAAAGGACAAATGCAGTTAGTGTAGGCGACATACACATTACTTTAAATATATGATGTGCCATTTGCATGTGTCATCAAGCTTTCTCCCTCCCTAAATTAACAAGAAATGTTCCTCACTCCTGTGCAGTACAGTTAACTAATACATCTCTGCAAAACTGACACTAACAGATATAATCTTTAGGACACTTTTGGGAACATACTGTGCCATTTTCTATTAAATACACTACTCAAACTGAAATTCTAAAGATCAGCAAGACATATGCCAAAATTTGATGTCATTAAACATATCTGAACAGCAAAGTCTGCAACTGCTATGTGACTTTATTGGCTGGCTCTAAAGCAAGGTAGAAATCTCTAGTCTTTCTAGATTTCAGGATAAAATTTAGTTACGTCTTGTTCCCTCTTTTCTCAAAGAGTTTCTACCCCAAATTCTTCATTTAGAAAGCATGCAATTGTATCTTGAAGAAATACAAAAGCACTTTCCTTGGGAAGTTTTAAAAATTTGCCAAATTATTTGCTAGTATGCTTTCTATACCTTAAAATGACATCCCGTCTTCTCAAAGCTGACTTACCGGTCTGTAGCAATCCTTAACCCAACCACCATATTCCAGGTTTTCTGTTCTATTTCCCTTTTTTTGCTCTGCATGATGGGTGTAGCCAGAATGTCAGCCACATCTTTCTGCAGGAGTCTGAGCTAGGACCACTCTCTTGTCAAAGCTGATTTGGATTCTGTGCTTCAGTGAGAGGACAGGACATTCACCCGTGAAAAGCTCCTCAGAAGTTTCTGTCTTCTCCTCCTCTGGAGAAAATCCTGCTACATGGCCCTGTCTCATAAATATGCTTCTATCGCTAGATTTTTTCCTGCTTTGAGGAAGCCCAGTATTCCCTTTTCTCTGAGAGGTACATCCAACTCCCAGGATCCATTAGGTCCCACACAGCCCCTCAGACCACCACATCCTTTCTCCTCGTCCTCTTGCACACCCAGATTTCTTGGCTTTTCTTTTCTCCTGTATAGGTCTCCAGGCTGTTCCTGCAGCTGGCAGCAGAGAGCACCATCAGAGGGACCCAGTGGCCCCTGAGTGCTAAGCAGTGACTGCAATTTGGGAGATGCTGCTGTTGGAAGATGAACAGCTCTGAGCTAGAGCATTACTACCTGCAGTCAGTGCATTTCAAAAAGCTGCCTTCCATGGGTCAAGGGCATGCAGAATAAACACCACTGCTGTCCTAAGAGTAGCCCTGCTTACTTCAAAATGTGTTAATTCAGCCCCATCCTGTGCATGGTTTGGGTTAATGAGGTGCAGATGGAAACTCAGGAACCAACTTTGTGACACTGGACTGGGTCTTAAATTTGGGTGATGAGCCAGCAGCATACAAACAGAAGCTTTCTGACTTAAAAGCAACCAAAACCTCTCTAAGTTGCTTCCCACCTCATGGAAAAACACACAGGACACTTCATGCACAGGCAGGTTAAAAAGGAAGCGGGTGCTTTTGAGTCCTCTGTCCATCCTCTGTGCAGTGCAGTGCCGCTCGTCGTGTGAGGATGTCCTGATTCCATGGAAGTGCTGGAGCACTGGGAATGCCACCCACTGCCACAAAGGCACATACATTTTGAAAGGACAGGAATGACTGAGCCAAACATCATCATGACTTTTATAAAAAGCAGCCCTGAGCAGCTGTCTCAGCCTCTTCCTTGCCTGACAGAGTGTCCTGCTGCAGTGCACTGGTGCCTGGAGGAACATTTAATTTAGGGCTTGGGGATTTTCTGAGAATTTAAAAGATTGTTTGAGTAAGTGATTCCATGTGTTTCAATTGACACCTGTACAGAGCAAAGATTGCAGAGGTTTGGGATTTTATCTTTTAACTTCCTTTTGCTTAGCAGAAATAAAACCAGAATTTCCTCACTTTCCCATGGAATTAAAAAAACTCCACATGTATGTTGTGCTCAGGGGAATGTTCTGACTTGGCTATTCTCAGCTACAGCAAAAGCTTTGTTAAGGGGAACACATCTTCACATATCCTATCCTCCAGAAAACTGCTACTGGGATTTTTATAAAACAGTGGAATTAGGAATATCAAAGTGATTTTCTTTATGAAGTTAGGAATCAGAAAATAGAAGTATCACTTGTTAAGAGGAATGAAAAAAACCCAACCTACCACTAACAAAGATCAACATTTTCATAGCAAATATTTGCATTTATTACTGAAGAGTTTTTCAATTGATTGTCAGTGTCTTGGATGCTATTTATAGGTTCTTTCCTGGTTATAAAGTAATGAGTAATTGATCTGTTTATGAAATATATACAAAAGTTGGCCTTTTTGACATGGAAATCAATATAATCAGGGAAAAAAAAAAGTGGAATAGTTCATATTCTCCTCACTTGGAGAACTCTAAAAGTTTTAATCCCAAACACCAAACCTAACAGAGGCCAATGGAACTATTTAAAACATTTGCCAGTTTAAGACCATCATCTTACATTTTAAAACAAATCTGTCACTTTCAAAATTATGTAGTCAGAAAAGCATTCAAAGCTCTGAATGTCAAGAGGAATATATGGTAAAGGAATTATACCTACAGCATGAATTTGTGCACAGTAGCATCACAGAGACACAGAGACCAAACCTGGTGCTGATGGCCATGCTTCAGCAACACCGAGGTGAAAGGGGCAGGATGTAACACACATTAAGGAACACTGCACGTCTGCTTGGCTGTAAAACCAACAGTCCAACAGCACCACTCTAAAGCTGCATTCCACATAACACAACTCACTAGAAAGCAGCAGAAGTTGTCCTAAGCACAAATAATGTGCTAATAATCTGGAATTTTACTGCAAATGATTTCCTACCAGATCAAGTTATGTAAGTTACCCCAAAACTGTGCTGTGGACATGTAGCTTGCACAGCTTTCCAGCCACTG